CTTCCAATCTCAGGTGTCAACTGAACACATGGACAGACAGGTCTATCAAGCGGCTAGAAAAGTAGATCTACAAGCAGGGAGAAAAGCCGAGGTTAGAGATGGGGATTTAGGGGGGCATCCACAAAGAGGTAGGGTACTGGGGATGAAATCACAGGAAACATAATTTAGCATAATTTAATGGGTTGAAAAAGGAAGAAGAGTCAGCGGAGGAGACTGGGAAGGGTCTAAGAACTCCAGGTCATAGAGGAAAAGAGATGTATTCTAGAACATGTTAGGGATACTACCTCGAGGACCAGATGGGATGGTCAAGTGAAAGCACTTTAAACATTTGAAAGGACTAAACAAATACATTTTTATGATTTTCACAGTAGCACATGTTTAATCTCCAGAAAAGCCACATTGTGCTAGAAGAGCCAGGCTTCCCAAAATCTTCCACAGAGTCCCCTCCCCAGCAAGTCAAATGGAAACATGATCTCGTCCTGCCCTGGACTTTCACAGTACTTACAAAGTCGAATTTTGGTATCTGTACAACTCAAGAAGCACTACCTGAGCATCGTCCGCATGCCAACACTGCAGGGGGTGCTTTCCTCTGTGTCCCCCTTGGAGGAAATGAAATGGAAAGGGAGGATTTACCCACCTTTGCAGAGGATGCCATGAGTGAGGCTTCAAAAGGCTAAGTATCTTGAGCCAAGACTGCAAGATAGTGAGTAGAGGAACCAGGGGCCTCTGATGCCAAGTCTTACCATGCCTTTTCTACTAAAACACGAGCTGGGACTTGCCCTATCTGTTATTTCCCTTACAATCAAGCAAACTAATAAGGGCACAGCCATATCTCATTTATCTTGATATCCTCTGAAGCACCCAGCCAAGGGCCTGACACTTGGTCAATTCTTGTGCTTTCGTTGCCTGAAAGTACTTGAGGGCACACGGGCCTCCCCAATGGTGAGCGTCTGTGGGCTGCTAAGCGTTGAGGACTTATTTCTAAGGCGGACTGTAACTTAACAACAAAAAGTTCTAAAAACAAATTCTGTACTTGTGAAAGATGCCACCTGGTCTGCCTCAGGGGCTGAAATCCTCTTTTTATGCACCGAGTGGGAACAGCACAGGGAGTGACAAGCTGGCTTTCTTCAAACCACTCCCACCAACGGGCTCAAGCCAAGAAACAGGCCCACACCTTTCGGGAAAGAGAAGTGCCCGTTTCACCTCTGGTGTCACTGCTGGCACTGCCAACAGTCTGAGAAGGAGGGGAAGGGAGAGCAGGTTTGGTGCCAGGTCTGATGATGTAACCTTGCAAGGCCAGCTTGTCTGCCAGGAAAAAAAAGGCAACTGGCTTAGAAATTAGGGTTTTTTTTTTCCCCCTCTCTTAATATTCAACCGACGTCTATTTTGCATAACTGACCACTAGCTGGTTCTGTTTTGTTTAATGAACTGTACTTAAGTGTCTCATTTACCTGACTGGTTTGGGTTCCTTGGAAAACAAATGTATAGAGAGCCTGAAGTAAGTGTATTTCATAAATGTCCCATGTGCAAGAAGAACGTGCAGTTCTCAGAAGCTTTACTTTGCAAACCATACACATGCACAGTGGGAGACAAGGAATAATATACATCTAAACACCATAAAGGCACACAGTCAGGCTCCAGTGTCGCCAGAAACACCAGAAACTCTTCCAGGATACTGGGCAAAAAGACTTCTGAAGTGGGATTATATTTTAGAGCTTCATTCATTATAATACACTTGGGAGTTTTCAACCCCATGTCTCTGACAGATGTTCCCTTTTGTGGGGATTGTCTAATTTGAGGACATTTGGTAACCATGTCCCTAGAAATCTTTAGGGTACAGCAAATTGATCCCTCTTCCCACATGTGAAGACAAGACCCAAAGTAGCCTCTTCCTAGTTCTAGGACTAGTTAGTGTAAGCATAATATTCCTGCCCACTGCATGGACAAGGTAGGGCAGAGGGACATTAGCCAGACTGAAATGAGGTATCTCCCAGGCTCAAGATACCTTTCCATGCCCATGGAGAGCAGAGAGAGAGAATGCAAGTCTTTTCTTGCCAATTTTCACCTAATGTGGATCAGGCCATTGATCTACATTATCACTGACCCACACTGATCAGGCCCGGACCCCTGCATGTCAAATGCACTGCATGGGGCTTGGAACTTCCTAGAAAGAGCCATAGCAAAAGCCAAAAAGAGTACAAGCCTCAGCTTAGGGCAAGCATCTGGCACTGGCTTTGGGCGGGGCCACATGGGATGCTTTCCCCATGACTCCTGAGAGCATTCTCCAAGTCTGAGTCTATAATCAATGCTTGGATGGCTCCAAGTTGACAGGATAGTATGAAACACAGAAAACAAATGAGACCTTAACACAATATCAAAGACCAGTACCAACCTCTCCTTATGCAGTTCTTAAAATCTATCCTATAACCTTGCCCTTACTGAAATGACATTACCTCCGTTCTATACACTGAACTCTGCATGAGTTAACCAAAGATATTAATAACTTTAGTAACTATGTAAGCCCTTAGAAAGTCATACCACAAATTTGGCCACTTTCCATTTTAACCTTTTTTCTGAAACCTCATTTTTTAAAACTTCTACTCAAGGATATAAGAACTTTTGGCAGTTTTCATTGGTATTACAAAGGCAGTTCTACTAAGCAAATCTGTATCAACCAGGAAAAATGTAAGACCCCTCCGTGCAGTGTTTTCCAGTTTTCCTGTAAGAATTATTTATTGATCCGTAATACTGCCAACCAGGCTCCTAGTCCCCCTGCATTGCACTTCTGCAAGACATTAACAAAATGAAAAGACTTGTTCCTGCCCTGGAGTAGCCTGCAATTTAGTAAAAGATGGGAAAACAAATACACATCACTAACTAAATCTGTGATGAGCAGATTCTAATTGACACAAATTCAGTATTAAAAGAGTTCAGGGGATGGCTAGAGAAGGCAGCCCAAGGGTGCTCAGGAGAAATGGTAGAGACAGAACTTGGAAAGGTCTATTTCAACAGGAAAAGGGTGTTAGAGAAGGCACTGCACACAGAGGTAACAGCTTTAGCAAAGGCACATGGGCAAGCGCACACAGGTAAATTAAGAGACGTTCAGGTGATAGAATCTGACTAAACGACAGGCTACTGGAGGAAAAGCATAAGAAACTGACCTGGAAAAGTAAGATGCAGCCAGTTCTTAACATGAAAAAAGACGGAGGACATGTAGAAAGCTAGATTTTAGAGGAAATAAGTTTTCAAATATAGCCTTCACTGATAATTTGTCACCTCATATCTCAGATTTTTAGAGGGAGAAATATTTCAATAGCAAGTTTATTTGCAAACCAGGTGTAGTAACTTCAAAGAAAAATAATGTGGGTGCTGAGAAAATCATTCTTCTGGGCTGGCAAATTCCTGTTTACAGCTTAACTAATATATTCGTATTACCTACATCTTGCGATGGTTTCATTGAGATCCCTCTTTTCTCATCACCAACATACCTTCTTAATTTATCACGTATGTACAGAGTGACTACTTAGAACTAGTATCTGCTCACTTATTTACCCATCCTCTCCTTTTCTGCCCCAACTTGTCCTAACCACTCACTCCCTCATGCGTTCTTCTCCCATGAGCGCTATCGATAACGACAACCTTAATAGCTCCCACTTGCTATAGTGCCAGGCACGGCAATTAATGCCGTAAGAACAGTGTTTAATGTAATCCTCAAAATTCCACTATAAAGTAGGTCTTACTAGCCCCATTTTGAAGCAAGTTTAAAGACATTAAAGATTTTACCAACTGGTAAGTGGCAGGACCCACGTTTAAACCAGATATGCTCGACCCGAGAGCCCTGGCCTATTTATTACTGGTTCCTCATACTGCCTCCAACACTCTTTGGCATCTTTACCCATATGGGTTAGTACTTTCAATTAAAAATTAAAACATTCAGTGAACTGTGTGCTACTGTAAAATCCTGTCCTAGGTGCTCTCAGCAGTATACAAATAAATGAGAGAATGCCTGTAGATTACTGATGCTCCTCGTCACCCCTACGTGACAATGAACACCTATGTCTTCTATCAGTGTGGAAGATGGTGTGTCCATGATTCACGAAGTTGAACAACCCGGGCCAGAGGGGTAAAAATGACTCAGGATATGAATGCTGGATGGTGACCATACCTCACAGACAGAAATCAGCCAACCCTGACTGACTGAGATTTTTATCATACATTTCAAATCAGAATCTGTAAAAACTCTGTCGATGGAAAATCTGTCCTGTCAGAAGTTCCCAACCAAATCTGCTTACAATCTATTTCCAATGAGCCTCAGCTTCCTTTGAAGTAGAATAAGCTTCTGAAGCATTTCAGCTAACAATAAGCACATTGTGACGCTAGCCCTCGTAAAATTCATTACCAACGAGTAAAGTTACTTGGTAAAACACAAATGTGGTATATCAAACTACTTGTACCCTAGAGCCTGGAAGTTGTGTAAAATTATATAGCGCTGTTCAGACACAGAAGAGAAATTCAAATGTGTCATCTTTTTAAGCTACCTGCTTTTAAGATCACCATTACTAACTTCTGAATAAGTTTTTGCTAATATTTTCAGGAGGCCAGTTACATTTTTACAAATAACTATAATACTTACAAAAATATAAGAAATTGGATAGGACGCTGTTGAGCAGTCCTCTTTAGGCTATAACCATATGTACCCAGGGAACATTTGGAAGGAGTTGCAATTTCGTATTCTGCCTGCCTACTCATCTCTCTCTACAAAGGTACAGTATTCATATCACAAGTTGCACAACTAAAACTCATCCAGAGACTGCAGTGGCAAATACTAACTGCATTTACTCTGCAATCTAAACTCCTGACACAACTCATTTTTAAGAAAATGAAAGTCAGTAAGGAGAAATCACCTTAAGAGTTCAAGAGTGGCAAAAGAATTATCACGACATGTTTGGCTAACAAGGAGAAACATCAGGCTACATAAAATGAATGACGTTGATACTTACTGTTCAATTCGGGGTGACAAGTACAGCTTGGGATACACCTGAGTGGCTTCGGTGTCCTCAAAACTGACAGAAAGGAGGGCCACATCTTCTCCAGGGTCTTCATTTACATCCTTAAGCAGGGAGTGAAAAACACAACGTCATCAGGCCCTGCTCCCATATAATCTTCCCGGTGCTGAACTCACAGCCCACTAACATTGAGGCTAAGAGCGTTTCCAGTACCTGGATTTGAATTTAGCAGCTCTGCGCATCCTTTGCCACATGCCAATCACTCTCCTAGAGTGATGGCTTTCAAACTTTCTGACCAGAGCCGACCACAGTGAGGCTAAGACTCTCACCTATCTCATTGGTCCCCCCCATTCCAAGAGGGGAAAAGTGAATCCGGCGACAACCAAGAATTAGTCAATAGCATAGTTAACAAACTGCAGTAAACATGTTGCTAATTACATATGTAATGTCTTATAATTTTTATAATGTATATATAAACGGCTTATAATTTTCTTTTTATAGGAAGAATAGGAGTTATGAACATGGTTTATATCATAAGACAACAAAGTCTTAAAATACCCAGTAATTTTATTATATATACCTTGATAGTATGTTGTAAGTTACTTAAATAACAAAAATTCCCAAGAAACATATCGCTATGAACTGTGCCACCAAACAAGCAAATGGCAGGGGGTTACGTACACATCGACTTTGCCAAACAACTGTGCATGATTCATATATGAACCACAAGACATACATATCTTAAAAGCCTGGTTATAAGAATATTATAGGAGAAAAACACGGTTGATCCAAATACGTACAAAAAAAAAACACTGAGAGGTTAACAACCCATAATAAACTAAACTGGTAATGACAAAGCTAAACTTCCTGTAATTTATAATTTAAAAGCAAGAATAGTGATAATCAAATGTCATAACCAACTCAGGCCAACACTGATTAAGTGTCCTGAGTCAAAACTGGGATTTATAGGTTCATGATTATTGCCAAGCACTGAATGTTTGCCAGACTTCTGAATAAAATACTGAATTAGCATAAATTCTAGTAGCATGATGGTTTTACTTTGTGAATACCAGATTTTAGTAACCCTTAATCATTTTACTTGTGGTTGGTAGTGGCTCTAAGTCAGATATAAATTTTTTGAAAACTTAATAGGACTGCACATCTTTCACCCATAAGGACTGGTAAGAACTGGCCTATATTTCTGGATTGATTCACAGGTCCTCTGGAGGGCCCACTTGCCATCCTAGGAGGGTCCCAATCTAGACTGTAAGAATCACTGCCCATGAGCACTGAGATCCTCAGATACAAGGTCCTTGCTTCTGTCTAAAACTAACCTCACCCCTTCCTTTCCTGTATCGCGGGAAGCTGGTCATCACACTCGTCCAGCTCAGCTCTGACCTCATCCTCACTCTGCCTCCTATTGTGCCTACAGGATGCACGTGTGGCAAGTATACAAAGGGGCAAGAACCAGAAGTCTCTCCCATCTTAAAAAATAAAAACTTAAAAAGGGGCATCTGGGTGGCTCCGTTGGTGGCTCAGTTGGTTAAGCATCTGTCTTTGGCTCAGGTCATGATCCCAGGGTCGTAGAATCAAGTCCCACTTCAGGCTTCCTCCGCAGTGGGGGGTCTGCTTCTCCCTCTCCCTCCACTTCTGCCGCTCCCCCTGCTCATGTGCGCACTCTCTCTCTCTCATAAATAAATAAAATCTTTAAAACATAAAAAATAAAAGAAAAATTCTAAAAAGAAAGAAAAGAATAATGCCAGTCTCTACACAGCATTCTCTCCCATCTCTCTCCTCTCCTTCACAGACTGCTTAAAAAAGCTGTCTGCACTTCCAGTCTCTACTCCCTTCCCTCCTATTATCCCTTAGCACAGGAGATGACCTCTGACCCCACTAGGCCATCGGGATTGCCCTCACCAAGGCATCCACAAAGCACAGCAAATGCCTCTCTGGGCTTATCTTACTTGATCTCTGAACAGTATTTGACATGGATGATCTCCTTCCTCTGGAAATACTCTGTTTCTTGCTCCTAGGAAACTACACTCTCCTGATCTTCTGTCTCTCGGACCACTTCCCTCCTCCCTTTTCATGCTTCGTGTTTTTTATCCTTTTACTTCTCAATTATTTTTTGGTTTTACATGACAAAATTCAGGCTTGTTGTAACAAGTCAAGCCGTACAGAAGCTTATAAGAAAAAGCTCTTCCGCCCTCCACTTTTAAAGGTAACCAGTATTAAACTGTGTATGGAGCCTCAAACAGCTTTCTCTATGCTCATAAGCACATATACACATACACACACTTGCATATAAATAGCTCTTTAACCTTCTGTTTTGTTTTCCTTAATGGAATTGTATTATACATATCAATCTACCAACTGCTTCCTAAATAGCCACATAATATTCCATGGCATGGATTTTTTTTTTTTTTTAACCATTCCCCTAGCAACAGACATTCAGGTTGTTTGTAGTTCTCAGCCATTTGATAGTATTATACTAAATATGCTCATATAAAGGATATATATGTATCCTTTACTAGTGGGACTTATATTTCCAAATTGGTAACTAAAACTGAGCTTGTCAGATCAAAGGTTATGAACACTTTACCTTTTAATAGTTGGAGATTATTTTTCTAAAATTTTACAGCACTTTACATTTGGACTCCTGAATCTGCATCAGTAGGAGAGAGCACCTGTTTCTGCTCATCCTGAATAACCTGGTAACACTAGCTGTGGTCATTCTGCAGTTTAATGTTGGCAGTCTGACTGCTGGAAAATGGTGCCTCAGTTGAGATTCAATGACTACAGCTGAGCAACTTTTTACTTGCTTACTGGTCATCTGTTCTGTCACTTCTCTGATCAAATCCTTTGTCCTAAAGACTCTTGGACTTTTCTTGTTGTTGTTGTTGTTGTTGTTTACTGGGCTTATTAACCCTGGTCTATCACATGTGTTATAAATATCTTCTCTCAGTCCAGCTTTTGGCTTTTTACTCTGTTTGGGGACTCTTCTGACAGCACAGAAAATTTAGATTTCTATAAACTTAAATCTGGTCAATAACTCTGAGGTTATTTACTTCCCTAGCATTTCATCTAACATTTTATTTTTACATGTAGATTTGTAATGCCACTGGAATGTGTTTTAGATAGTATGATTTAGGAAGTATATAAGAGGAGGACCTTAGTACAGTGCCTGGAACACAGAAACCACTCCATGTTTGCTGAATGAGTACAACAGTAAACAAATTAATGCTAATTTCTAACCTTTATTCTCCACACCTAGTGCTTTTCAGGAACTGGCTTTACAAAAGTTGCTTCAGCAGTGGTATCTGGAAACAGTACTGACTCCTTGCTCCTGCCCCCCATAATACACCAACATCCCTAGAACTAGTGGTTTCAAAAGGAGAGTAAAGATTGGGAATCTGAGTTTAGTTATCATTTCTTGCTCTTTGACAGATGATTATTCAACATTGAATGCTCCTTTCTGTAAAATGAGGATGGAAATTTTAAAAATTACTTAGGTCTCAACAAATAGAAACTATGTAATTCTATAACACAACTCTAAAACTCACAAAATATCTAAAACTAAGGTTGAAGCTGAGTTTGAAAATATTCACATTCAGAGAGACAAATTCATTTGATGATCTAAGTATAGAAGTAGTCCTCTTTAGTGTTAGATTGGTCACCTTAACGTAAGATAATGAAAAAAGAACCAACATTGATTTTCAGACACCTTCCCCAGTGATTGAGTTTCCTTGTTAAAGGTCAAGGCTCTGACCACAAGTCACAAAACCTGGTTAAAAACAAAAACAAAAACAAAAAACACTGCAAAAAACAAAAGGCCACTGAAAACCTTTTTAATTAGCAGCTTCACTCCATATACCCATGGATAATTTATAATTATTTCCTTTTCCTACTTTTTAACTTCTCATTTCACCGCTATTTAAGCAAAGAACAGAAATGCTCACAGACAGTCCTCCAAACAAATGGAATGACCCTGGTTTATATAATCAACATTTATCATCTGGCATCCTGCAAAAAGTACATGAAACATTAGTCTGAATAGGAAAACAGTTGTTTCCAGGAGTTCCTTTTATGAACTACTTTTAATATAATTTACTTGCCTTGGTGTGACACATTGGTTTCCCCTGAATTGGTATTTGATTTCTAATGGATACCTAAGTTTGACTCTGAGTGCTTAAATAAGCCCAAAGAGTTCCAAAAATACAAATCTACACAGTACTGTTTCCAGTTTCTGCAACTCTAACAGGCTTGTACATGTGTTCCTTCCCATCTGGGAGAATTATAAAAGAAGCTCTTGTACTGTGGTTCTTAGAAGCTAACATTACAGATGATTATTGTAACCACTAATGGCAACATTTGGAAAGCAGGGGGAGGTTACAGTGTAGTAGGGGACACTTAAAAATGCACAAGTATACATTTTCAAGGCTTTCTATCTGTACCATCTAAAATTGCAGAGGCTAAAATGGGGGGAAAGATGTCAAATCTGCTGAAGCAAAAAAGAGTATTGCCTCCTACCTTTACAAAAGCATTATCAGGCGCTGATATACATATGGCAAGGCAATAATGGCCATGATATTTTGCTGAGACTTAACAATGGATTTTGCTATAGAATAGAAAGGGGTTCCTATGGCTTATAGAGAATATTCACTAGGTGGGAGTTCCTTGCAGGCTGGGAGCTTTTCCTGTTTGTTTTTGTATACCCAATGTCTGAAACAGCACATATATGGCAAACTGGTTGGAGGGGGAAAAAAAACTGATTAATGCTGGAAAGATTGTAAGAATGAGTAAATGATGGAGTTAAACAGAAAGTATTTTCAGTTAGGAAGATTCTCAATACCTATCTCATTTTTCCTTAAATCTATGACTACTTAAGATTTTGTTAAAGAAAACTCGTCTGAACCATATATAAGCAAAAGATGCACCTACTAGTAAGAGGTAACATTCTGTGTAGGTCACAATGACTTATTCATGTAACTATTCTCAACTGGGGCTCTTTACAAATATCAGAAGGGTGTAGAAAAAAACGATTAGCCTTGGAAACGAAAGTAAACACAAGCACAATTTATCATTACGCTGTACCCCTTTGATA